GGGAAGAGTATAAAAATATTGCTCGGGCATGTAGGAATGATATCAGGAGGGCCAAATCGCACCTGGAGCTGCAGCTAGCGAGAGATGTCAAGAGTAACAAGAAGGGTTTCTTCAGGTATGTTGGCAACAAGAAGAAAGCCAAGGAAAGTGTGGGCCCCTTACTGAATGAGGGAGGCAACCTAGTGACAGAGGATGTGGAAAAAGCTAATGTACTCAATGCTTTTTTTGCCTCTGTCTTCACTAACAAGGTCAGCTCCCAGACTGCTGCGCTGGGCATCACAAAATGGGGAAGAGATGGCCAGCCCTCTGTGGAGATAGAGGTGGTTAGGGACTATTTAGAAAAGCTGGACGTGCACAAGTCCATGGGGCCAGACGAGTTGCATCCGAGAGTGATGAAGGAATTGGCGGCTGTGATTGCAGAGCCATTGGCCATTATCTTTGAAAACTCGTGGCGAACGGGGGAAGTCCCGGATGACTGGAAAAAGGCTAATGTAGTGCCAATCTTTAAAAAAGGGAAGAAGGAGGATCCTGGGAACTACAGGCCAGTCAGCCTCACCTCAGTCCCTGGAAAAATCATGGAGTAGGTCCTCAAAGAATCAATCCTGAAGCACTTGCATGAGAGGAAAGTGATCAGGAACAGCCAGCATGGATTCACCAAGGGAAGGTCATGCCTGACTAATCTAATTGCCTTTTATGATGAGATTACTGGTTCTGTGGATGAAGGGAAAGCAGTGGATGTATTGTTTCTTGACTTTAGCAAAGCTTTTGACACGGTCTCCCACAGTATTCTTGTCAGCAAGTTAAGGAAGTATGGGCTGGATGAATGCACTATAAGGTGGGTAGAAAGCTGGCTAGATTGTCGGGCTCAACGGGTAGTGATCAATGGCTCCATGTCTAGTTGGCAGCCGGTATCAAGTGGAGTGCCCCAAGGGTCGGTCCTTGGGCCGGTTTTGTTCAATATCTTCATAAATGATCTGGAGGATGGTGTGGATTGCACTCTCAGCAAATTTGCGGATGATACTAAACTGGGAGGAGTGGTAGATACGCTGGAGGGGAGGGATAGGATACAGAAGGACCTAGACAAATTGGAGGATTGGGCCAAAAGAAATCTGATGAGGTTCAATAAGGATAAGTGCAGGGTCCTGCACTTAGGATGGAAGAATCCAATGCACCGCTACAGACTAGGGACCGAATGGCTAGGCAGCAGTTCTGCGGAAAAGGACCTAGGGGTGACAGTGGACGAGAAGCTGGATATGAGTCAGCAGTGTGCCCTTGTTGCCAAGAAGGCCAATGGCATTTTGGGATGTATAAGTAGGGGCATAGCGAGCAGATCGAGGGACGTGATCGTTCCCCTCTATTCGACATTGGTGAGGCCTCATCTGGAGTACTGTGTCCAGTTTTGGGCCCCACACTACAAGAAGGATGTGGATAAATTGGAGAGAGTCCAGCGAAGGGCAACAAAAATGATTAGGGGTCTAGAACACATGACTTATGAGGAGAGGCTGAGGGAGCTGGGATTGTTTAGCCTGCAGAAGAGAAGAATGAGGGGGGGATTTGATAGCTGCTTTCAACTACCTGAAAGGGGGTTCCAAAGAGGATGGCTCTAGACTGTTCTCAATGGTAGCAGATGACAGAATGAGGAGTAATGGTCTCAAGTTGCAGTGGGGGAGGTTTAGATTGGATATTAGGAAAAACTTTTTCACTAAGAGGGTGGTGAAACACTGGAATGCGTTACCTAGGGAGGTGGTAGAATCTCCTTCCTTAGAGGTTTTTAAGGTCAGGCTTGACAAAGCCCTGGCTGGGATGATTTAACTGGGAATTGGTCCTGCTTCGAGCAGGGGGTTGGACTAGATGACCTTCTGGGGTCCCTTCCAACCCTGATATTCTATGATTCTATGATTCTATGATTCTACTTTTCAATTAATAGCTGTAAACAGGTTTAAAACTTATCATAGCAGAAAAACCTGGTTTGCTGTGTGTGAATGGGGAAACTGAGACATGCTGCCTCATGGCTTGATGGCTGGGTGCCAAGAGAACTATAACACAAACTGCCTTTGAGCTAGTCAGTGAGTAACCTGCTTCCAGTAAACTAAGGGGGGAGGTGTGACATTATATACCTTGGGGGAGCGTGCTGTAACCCCCATAGTGCTCATTTTCATATAATCATGATCTTATATATAAAGCATGCCTTGTAAGGGATCAGGGGAAAGGTTATGATCTGCTGGAAGTCATTTCTCTGTACATAGATGTGTATATCTTTAGTGCATATGAAGTTACTAAAACATGCTGTAAGTTGGGGAAATCAGCCAGATATTAGCTCCCCAGAGGCAACAGCAAGGAAAGTAACCAACGCCCGGACAGGGTGTGAAACAACCCATCCACAGCCCTTGTCCAGCAACGGAGCGACAATGCAATGACTCACCTGCATGAGGCCACACCAGGGGAATTGCTCAACCTTGCTTGGAGAGACTCAGTAATGCTCACCTGACTCTGAAAGGGGGGGAGGGGCAAAGCCAAGAGGGAAGAAAAGACCTGATAAAAGGGAGAGACATTTGCCATCCTCTCTCTCTCTTCCACCTACATCTACAGCCACCACCACCAAGCGACTGAAGCGCTGATCAAAGGGAAGAGCCTGGATGAAGAGCAACCAGCCAGCCTGTGGTGGGAAGCATCGGAGTTTGTAAGGGCACTGAAAGTGTTACCATCAGCTTAGAATGCGTTTTGCTTTTATTTCATTTGACCAAATCTGACTTGTTGTGCTTTGACTTATAATCACTTAAAATCTATCTTTATAGTTAATAAATTTGTTTGTTTATTCTACCTGAAGCAGGGCATTTGGTTTGAAGTGTATCAGAGGTTCCCCTTGGGACAACAAGCCTGGTACATATCAATTTCTTTGTTAAATTGATTAACTCATATAAGCTTGCAGCATTCAGTGGGCATAACTGGACACTGCAAGATGGAGGTTCCTAGGGTTGTGTCTGGGACTGGAGATATTGGCTAGTGTCATTTACTTGCAAGTAGCTGGGAACAGCTTACATGCCAGAGGCTGTGCGTGAACAGCCCAGGAGTGGAGGTTCTCACAGCAGAGCAGGTTAAGGCTGGCCCCAGAGTCAAGGATTGGAGTGGCCTAGCAGATCATCTGTCCAGATAACACCAGAGAGGAACGTGACATCCATCACTTTTTATCTACTTGGAAATTAACCATGGAAAACAAGTCGAATTGTTTTCAACAAATGAATGATATGAACAAGTGCAAGAGAATCAGACAGAAATTGGATTAGTCCAAACAAAAAGGACCCACTGATATGATTCAAGAACTGCTGAAATCATGCTTGCTAACAATAGAGGATGTGGAGCCAGAAATTAATGAACCAGAATTGGTGTGGTGGATATTAGGCCTAATTGGTGAACAAAATAATGAGGGGATGGGCTATGCCACCCCCTTTTTCCCTTTGTGGGGTTCTTAAAAGGAGATTTTGAAAAAAAAACCAAAAACCTCATCGCCCATCCCACCTAGTATCCCAGCTCATCTTGTCTCACCTAGGGTTTCTATATTTCAGGTTCCCAAGGGTAAAAAGGCCGCCCCCATTCCACCTCTTCCCCCAGTGACCCCGCACTCACCAGCAGCAGCGGGAAGCGGAGCAACGCGGCCCCAGCCTGCTCCATTCCACCAGCTCCCAGCCACGTCACTCCGCTTCCCGCCACCAGTGAGTGCAGGGAGGTTGGGGAAAGGATGCCCCCGGCACTCACCGGCGGCGGGAAGTGGAGCGCCGCAGCTGGGAGCTGGCGGAGTGGAGCGGGCTGGGGCCGGGCTGCTTTGCTTCCCGCCGCTGCTGGTGAGTGGGGGAGGGATCCCTTCCCCAAGCCCCCTCCCCCGAGCAACACAGCTGGGGCCAGGGCGAGGGAGGCGGAGCAGGCTGCTCCCGGTGCCCGGCTAATCCCCCGGGCCATTCTGGGCCTGTGGGGCCCCCAAAAGTGCCCCCTCACAGCTCCTACCTCCCAGACCCTGGGCAGAGGGGAGGCCTGGGGCCCCACATAGCCCCCCAGCGTGGGAGGGGGCTGCATAGGGCACCCAAATGGCTAGGAACGGCCCTGGCCACAGCACTGTGTTGGCACCAAGCAATGACCTGTCCACCAGCCTGCCCTGGATCAGGAGAAAAGACTCAGCCAAATGACATTTCTGACTGGTGGGAACCAGGGTCCAAGCACCAGGCTCTGTGGGCCACCCATGGCTGACCAGCCATCCCGAGTTAGTTCCACAGACATCAACAAAAGCCGGATTCCCCCCCTTTGCTATCATAGAATCATATCGAACCACAGGGTTAAAAGGGACTGCAGGGGTCACCCAGTCTAACCCCCTGCCACAGTGCAGCATTCGTTGGGTCTAAGCTATCCCAGACAGACGGCTCTCCAGCCTCCTTTTGAAAACCTCCAGCGAAAGAGCTTCCACAACCTCCCTTTCCTACTTCTCCTCCAACTTGTATCAGTCTGTCTGTTAGAAGCAGGAGAAGTGCATACCCTTCCCACATCAGGGCAGAGTAAAGTTAGCCCTTCCTTTTAATCAAGGAAAGATTATTCTGGAAATAAGACGCTCTGATATTTTACTTCCAAAAGGAGAGAGACATTTGATTGTTTTGCATAATCACTCAATTTCAGCTTCAATATGAAATGCTTGTTTAAATTTCTTGTTCTTTCTTGTGTTTGACCAAATAAATGTTCAACTTTAAAATGAACACTTTTGGGTGTTTGGCAAGCAGCCGAGTAAAACCAAAGCCTCCGTAGAACTCCTCCCCCAAACCTGAATATCACTATTTTCATGTTGGACAGTGAAAAAGTTCATAAACACCTCTAACTCTTCTGGCCCTTGAGATTAATACAACATGTCCCACCTGTGGGGTCATGCCCCATCGGGGGGGTCAGATTTGAGAAGAGGGACACTCAGGATCTAAAGCTGAAGGGATGGACAGGCTAGGAGAGATGACAGGGGAGATACTCACCATTTGCAAATACCCTGTGCCAGACTGCAGGGTGGGAGCAGGTCCAGACCAGGAAGAGCAGAGAGATGGCAGGAGGGGAGACAGGCGGAAGGGAGATGTTAACTCCAAATAATATCATTCAGTGATGCACCCAGGTCACCCCCCCTCACCCACCCAGGGTAGAGCCAGCCACCCACCCACCCTGCCTGCAGGTCACTCCCCTCACCCACCCGGGCCAGAGCCACCCACCCACCCTGCCTGCAGGTCACTGCCTTCACCTGCCCAGGCCAGAGCCAGCCAGCCAGCCAGCCACCCAGCTGCCTATGGGTCACTCCCCCACCACCACCTGGGGCAGAGCCATCTAACACACCTGCCTACAGAACACCCCATGCACCCACCTACCCGGCTTCCTGCTGGTCACACACCCCCACTCCTACCCGGGCCAGAGGTCCCCCCCCGACCTGGCTCCCTGTGGGTCACCTGTGACGGGGTCGTCACCTCACACAAGCCAGAAAAGACCAATTTACCTCACATGCTGGAGATGAAGCCCAGGATTATTAAGCTGATGTGAAAGCGGTAGGCAGCTGCAGAAAGGGAGCTGGTCAGGAGGAAGGGGGAAGTCCAGGGGAGAGATAGCCCTGGCCTCATGCCTTGAACTAGAGCAGTGTTTCTCCACTGGGAGGCCTGGGGGTGGCGGAAGAGGTTTGAGGAGCGGAGTCGCAAGCAGGGCTGGCATTAGGGGGTAGGAAGCAGGGCAATTGCCAGGGGCCCCATGCCACAGGGAGCCCTGCAAAGCTAACTTACAGGTTTCAGCCCGAAGCCCCAAGTTTAAGGTAGGGGTAGCAATTTTTTTCTAGTAGGGGGTCACGAGTTTTTTTAAGTCCACAGGGGGTCGCCAGCACAAAATGATGAGAAACACTGGACTAGAGAATCTGGCAAGAGGTTGAGAGGGGAGAAGTAGCCGCAGGGAGCAAGGGAAGCTGCAGTGGCAAACCCCGAGATAGACCAGGAGATAGAGAGGTGGGGTAGGAAGGAGCTCAGGGAAACAGCAAGAAGGACTGAGACTGAGCAGACCTGGATTGCTAGTCAAAGAGTCCTGGGGCTGGAACCTGGAGTTGTGGGTGGGCCCAGGTTCCCCTACCAGCCAATGGGATACAACTGAGGTCTGTAAAATCACAAACAGTATATGGAGAAAGTGAACAAGGAAGTGTTATTCACCCTTTCGCATAACACAAGAACCTGGGGTCACCCAGTAAAATTAACAGGTTTAAAACAAACAAAGTGTTTCTTCACACACCACACAGTCAAGCTGTGGAATTCGCTGCCAGGGGATATTGTGAAGGCCAAAAGTATAACTGGGTTCAAAAGAGAATTAGATAAATTCATAGAGGACAGGTCCATCAATGGTTATTAGCCAAGATGGGCAGGGGTGCAACCCCATGCTCTGGGATCTCTAAACCTCTGACTCCTAGAACTTGGGACTGTACCACAGGGAACGGATCACGTGGTACATTGTTCTCTTCACTCCCTCTGAAGCATCTGGCACTGGGCACTGTCAAAAGAGAAGATACTGGGCTAGATGGACCATTTGTCTGACTCGCTGTGGCTATTCTTATGTTCTTGCCCAATATTTGCAGATGGATCATCCGCTACACTGCAGAAAAAGCAGGAAGAGTAGAGACAGCGTATTGAGTACCAGAATTAGGAACTGGTGTATTTAAAAGAATATCTGACTTTATAGCTGCCACGGCAGCGGAACCAGTAGCAATAATGTTGGCACTAATGTGTACGTCCAGCAGCAGCAGCCGTTTTTCTGAGTAAGGGAATAAAAAGGATCAGAGGGGCAGCCGTGTTAGTCTGGGTCTGTAAAAGCGGCAAGAAGGGGGTGTTCACCCACGAAAGCTCCTGCTCCAATACGTCTGTTGGTCTAGAAGGTGCCACAGGACTCTCTGCCAGAATAAAAAGGGTGTCTCCGTATGTAGAAGTGATGTAATCAATTAAATGATATGCACCATGTAGCACTAGCCTGGATCCCAGTGTATGTCGAGGGAACGGGATGAAATGGCAGACAAAAGAGCTAGGCAAGCATGGTAAAAAATGGAAGGATTGCCATAGAAATATCCTTGAATAAACAGGAATTTGAAAACTTAGGACAGGAAAATTTAAAAGAGGAATGGCCAAAAATTTGGATCAATGGGAAAAAAAGGCATAAGACTTTCTGAGTTGTGCCCTAGAGTTGAGGATAACAACACGCCTCAGGGTCTGGGCAGGAAAAATGAAGTAATTTTGTTTAGGGCACTACCTGGCCATTCTGGTTTAAACAAAAATTTTTTTGAATACATGAAACACAAAGATGGACTATGGGAGCACGGGAAGGGAGAGGAAACATCTGATCACCTGTTATGGTACGTCAGGGCTTTGAGAAAGAAAAGGAAAAGCTTTCTGAGAAATGTCAATGTCTTACAGAAAGAAGTTACATGAGGTTATTAAGTACAAATATCAGGAAATGGGGGGTAGCATGAGAAAGGCAGCGAGAGACACGGGGCAGAATGAGAGAATACAAACAGCTAGGTATTTAGTAACTAGAGTTGGTGGCAGCCAGTGACCACACAGCTAAGTCTGTTTCGCTGGCTGGGAAGCAGGGGCAGAGAAAGGAGGAAGCTGCAGAGAAGGGGCCTACAGGCACTTGCTAGGGAGAACAGGAGCTGTACAGGTACCAGGAGGAAGTCCAGGGTGAGTAAGCCATGGGGCCATGCCCTGGACTAGGGAGTCTGGCAAGAGGCCAGAGGGGTGAAGTAGCCACGGGGGCAAAGGTGCCTCAGAGCCACCCACTCAACCCCCGGAGTTCACATCTCTTAGCTGGGGGAAGCCTCTTCACAGTGACCATTCACCCTGGCAGCAGAGGGGAAGGGGCCCTCTGCCCGGTACCTGAGCCAATCTTTATGAGGCCATTGTGCTGGATGAAGATAGTGTCACTCGTCAGGTTGCCGTGGATGATGGGCGGATCACAGGAATGCAGGAAGCTGTAGAAAGAGCAGAGCCCCCCTGAAGTGTTACCAGTCTGCTGAGCACGAAGTGGCAAGCCAGGCAACAGCACGGGCGGGGAGGAGGCTCACCTGAGAGCAGAGAGGATCTGTGTGCACCAGCGCTTCCAGGCCTAGAGGAGAGATCAGAGCGCCCTGTCAGATAGGGAAGCCCCATCACAGCCTGCCTAGTCCCCAGAGAGGAGAGCAGGATCATTCCCTACAATCTGCTCCACAGGGCTTTGTGTGAACATCCCCTGTGCAAGGCCCCCAGGCCCCTTCTCCCCCAAGGAGGGACCACTCGCTAGCAGCAGGGTCCCAGATACGGTCCCTTTGGAGAAGGCCTGTTTCAATCAGGAGACCAGAGCACACAGATGGGCCACCTTAATCTCCCCTGCAGCAGCTACCTGAAAAAATCCTAGCTAGGTTGAGAACCTAGCAGGCGTGATTCTTACCTGTAGGAACTGGGGGGCCTGGGACAGCACTCAGAGAAAACAAGGGGCTCAAAACCCATGTGACTTGGTTCTTCTTTGGCCCCATTGCCGGAGCATCACAGACCCCAGTGGATTTATCCTCACCCCTAGGGAGGTATTACCCCCATGTCGCAGGTTGGGAACTGAGGCACCGAGACAAGAGACTTGCCCATGCTCATGCAACAAGTCATTGCCACAGACGAAAACAGAACCCAGGGCTCCTGTGTCCCAGGCCAGTGCCATAACCACAAGCCGTTTTTCAGATTTGAAGGATTGGGGGTGGCCTCTTCCCTTTCCTGAAGTCTAAGGCTGTCTCCACGGGAAGGCTCCTGATTGAGAGTCCCCTCCCTATGGCATGACTCTGGGGTTGCTGAGTTCTGCTCTAGGAGGTGCCAGAGTTAGCAGTGGGTTGTCAGAGTCCTGGCTTTTATGGCTAGATCTTGCTCAGGTTGGACGATAATGCCCCTGGCTATGGGTCCAAAGACTTCACACTGATGAGAGCCACAGGTTCTGCTTAGGGACCCTGGATGTTCCTATCCCCAGATGCCCCTAGGGAAGCTCTGCTTTTAGTCCCCAGTTCTGATCAAGCTGCCACCCCCAGCAGCAAGCAGAGGGTTTGTGCTGCTCACAGGTTATCCCTACATGCCCATCTGTACCTGACGCCTGTTCCACAGAGGGGGTCTTCGCGTCAGGGGCCTGGGGCACTAAGCAACCTGCCCATTACAGACCCTCCCAGACAGGGTGAGGAATCCTACCCGAGCGTTCATGGCCTTGTGGTTTTTCTTGGTTTTCTTCAGGAACTGTTTCAGGCTCCCTGAGGACACGTATTCTGTGATGAAGATCACCTGGTGGAGGGGGAGGGAGGTGTCAGCTCAGCCACTGCCCCAGAGGGTCAGAACAGCCATTAGGTCCCAGGGCTTAAAAGCCGCACACCTTGGCGCAGCGCTGCCCAGGGAAGAGAGCAGGAACCAGACCTGGATTTCCGTGCACCGCTGGGAAGGGGGAGGAGGAGAAGCACCTGAGCCAGGATCCCCGTCCGGTAGGGCACTGGCATCCCCGCCCTCGGGAAGCTCCCCTGCCCCCTTGTCCCGGTACCCCCTTACCCGGGCCTTGGAGTCCTTCACATCCAGCCAGTATTTATGCAACTTCACAATATTGGGATGATCCACAACCACCAGCTGCTCAAACATGGTATTGATCTTCTCCTGTGGACAGAGGGCAAGGTGAGCAAGGGGGGCATCGGCTGGCATGTCGGGGTGGGGCAGAGGCCATGATGGGGAGTGAGCTTCAGGGCAGCAGTCTGGGGGTGCAGGGCATACCAGGACCTATCTGAGGGTGCACAGGGTACTGTGGGGCTGTCTGCAAAGGATAAGGGGAGGAGGTACAGAGCACTGTCTCAGAGACAAGGGGAGGAGCGACAGGAGAGCTGTCTCTGAGCATGCAGGAGGCATGGGGGAGTGATCGCTGATGTTATGGAGGGACTGTCTTTTAGGGGAGGAGATGAGCAACATTTCAAGGAGAATGTACAGGCAGAAGGAACGTGAGCTGTAGCCAGCGGGGAGCTGCAGGTCTGGGGTTTCAGGGAACTGGTGAGTGGAGGAAGGGGCTTTTCCAGCCAGCTGTGTCCCCACAGGGCACGGGAGCAGGAAGGAGCCACTCACCTCGTGGGCCTTGAAGGCCTTCTTGTCTGTGAAGTGCAGCTCATTCCACACCACCTCTACGCCCTCCTCCGTGTCCATGGCCAGGAAGGTGCTCTGGATCCCTGGCATGTTCCCCTGGTTCACCTGCAAGGCACACACACAGGGGATGAGACAGCAAGAGGCACTGGCCAGGCCTTCAGGCCCCCAGCGTCTCGCCAGCACACAGAGCGAGCCGGGGAGAGGGGACGGGGGAGCTCGCAGGTCATGTGCAGGCCAGGGGAAGGATGCAGCTGGCCAAGCCCGGCAGTACAGAAAGCTTGTGCATCCCCAGCCAGCCTCCCGCTCCCTTTCCCGCACATGGCAGCCGCCGTGGTGCAGCTGCTCTGGCTCCCAGCTGTAAAAGGGACCTGTTCTGCTGCCTCCGGTGGCTGGAACGCAGTGTCCATGGCACGAGGCCTCTATGGCCACAGCCCAGGGGCTACAGCCACAGCCCGGGTGCAGCCTCTGGCCAGCCTGTCCCCTGCAGAGGGAGATGCAGGCGCAGAAGGGAGGAATGACACAGCAGTCCTAGGAACTCATTAAGAAGGAACCATGGAGCTGGGCAGGCAGCCCATTGCCCTGCTCCCGCTACAGGCAGACAAAGCGCCTCTGTTATCCCCTAGGGTCTCACAGGCTCCATGTGCTTTACACAAAGACCAGCACAGAAACCCAGGAATGCTGCCAGTCAGCCTGGTCCCAGGGTCAGCTTCCTCCTCAGCCCACCGGCAGCAGGCAGAAGGGCACTGGAGAGCACAGCATGGAGGCTCCAAAACCTGGCAGGGGAAGGGTGGAGGATGCATGGACAGACACTGCCCTCTGGGCCTGAGCTGCTTGATCTAATCTCACGTCCTCCAACAGCAGCCAGAGCTCACTTAGAGGCTCAACCCCTGCTCTCCGCTGGGTGCTCTGGGTGATCGCAGAGGGTCAGCTCCCAGGGGAGTCACAGGGGTTCAGCTGGGAGCACTAGGGGGAATGGGCAGGATGCCCTGTCTAGGGAAAGGCGGCGGGGTGCTCTACATCATCAGCACCTCCCCTGACTCATTCGAGGTGCCACGTTCATTCATACATTTGAACCTGGGATGAATAAACACAGAGCAAGCGACTCCCAGAAAATGGGGACGATGCCGGGAAGTAACAAAGGGAGATGGATGGAGGTGGTGAGGAGCTGTTCAACAGGAGCCATGCAGACTCGTACCAGGCAGCTTCCATCTGCGGGGGCAGGAATCTCCCAGTATCCCCCCCACACACACACACACCCCTTCCCAGCCAGTGCAGCTTGAGCAGCTTTGGGGATCCTAACAGAGGCTGTTCACAACTTGGGCTCAGAAAGTAAATGTGGGCCTGGCTCTGCCTGCATCCTAGCAGACAGCCCTCCCTCGGTGACGGGGCCTGTCACACCAGAGCTGGCTCTGCCCTCGTCCCAGTGTAAGCAGGGTCTGAAGGCGTTCTCCCCTGACAGCTAGCTGGGAGGGGGAGAGACTTCAGGAGCAAACGGTATTTACATGAACACACCTACTCTGCTTAGATATCCAACAGATAGAGCGGTGTTGGGTGTTGGGTCACAGATCACTTTAGTACTGAATGCAGGGGTAGTGACATGATGTTATCAATGTTGTTGTCTTTATTGTATGAATAAAGGGGAGCAGAACTGTGCTTAACCTGGCCCAAATGAGGGGGTCACCCTCAGCTGGAAGGACCCTGTTAGGCCTGGGGCTCAAATGCCAGAGCCCAGAGAAAGTAAAAGGGGAGGGGACAAATATCTCAGCTAGGTGGTATGGACTCTCTCTAGGGGTCCCTAGTCTGGTTCCTCTGCACTGTCCAAAGATGGAGCTAAATGGAGCCTCATGAGGAGCCTTTTGTTATGTTAAGTGTTTAATAACAGCTGAAAACACTTGTGGTGGGGCAGGGTTTCTACCCAGCCTGCTGAGAGCTAAGAAATCACTGAGAGACTGATCTACAGCGGTAGCAGCAGAAGGTGACTGACGGGTGGCCAGCAGGAGCAGCCAGCAAAAGTGGTGAGCAGCAGCTGACAGGGCAGCCAGGTAGCAAGGAGCAGCGGCTGGCCAGGTGGCTGGGCGGCGAGAAGCAGCGACTGGCGGGGCGGCCGGGCAGCGAGAAGCAGCAGCTGGCGGGGCGGCCGGGCAGCGAGGAGCAGCGGCTGGCCGGGCAGCGAGGAGCAGCGGCTGGCGAGGAGCAGCGGCTGGCGGGGCGGCCGGGCAGCGAGGAGCAGCGGCTGGCGGGGCGGCCGGGCGGCGAGGAGCAGCGGCTGGCGGGGCGGCCGGGCGGCGAGGAGCAGCGGCTGGCCGGGCGGTGAGGAGCAGCGGCTGGCGAGGAGCAGCGGCTGGCGGGGCGGCCGGGCGGCGAGGAGCAGCGGCTGGCGGGGCGGCCGGGCGGCGAGGAGCAGTGGCTGGCGGGGCACCGAACCAGAGCAAGTGCTCAGATGGTGGAGCAAGTCAGGTGCCTTCTTCCCCGTGTGGGAGGTGAACTCACACAGATGCACCTCTGCACCCTGGGTCCTCACTGACCAAGGACAGATACTGCGAGTGGGGTATGGTGAGAGAGCAGAGAGGGGCATGGTAAGGGAACTCAAGAACGTGAGGCAGAAGAAGACTCTGCCTCATGCACTCTGCGGTGGTCGTCCTGCTCACAGTTTATGTTTATGAGTCCTGCTTAATGTTGGGTGACATCTCTCCTTTCATGAATGTTTCTTTTGTATGCTCAGACTCTGCGCTTGCAAGTGGGGACGTACTGCCTCTCAGAGGCACCCAGGGGTGGTGTGTAATTTTCCCAGGTTCCTGGGTGGGGGCTCGAGCCGGTTCTGTGTTTTATCGATGGAAAGGAACCCCTAGTTACTGAACCCGGGCCTGGTTGCTGCTGGCTCCACCGGCAGAAGGGTTACACCAGCCTTCTGCCTCCCTCAGTGATGTGGAGGATGTGGAAGGATTGGAGAGAGTCCAGTGGAGGGCAACAAAAATGATTAGGGGATTGGAACACATGAGTTATGAGGAGAGGCTGAGGGAACTGGGGATGTTTAGTCTACGGAAGAGAAGAATGAGGGGGGATTTGATAGTTGCTTTCAACTACCTGAAAGGGGGTTCCAAAGAGGATGGCTCTAGACTGTTCTCAGTGGTAGCAGATGACAGAACAAGGAGTAATGGTCTCAAGTTGCAGTGGGGGGAGGTTTAGGTTGGATATTAGGAAAAACTTTTTCACTAGGAGGGTGGTGAAACACTGGAATGCGTTGCCTAGGGAGGTGGTGGAATCTCCTTCCTTAGAAGTTTTTGAGGTCAGGCTTGACAAAGCCCTGGCTGGGATGATTTAATTGGGGATTGGTCCTGCTGTGAGCAGGGGGTTGGATTAAATGACCTGAGGTCCCTTCCAACCCTGATATTCTATGATTCTATGGGGCCTGTCACATCAGGGCTGGCTGTGCCCTCATTCCAGCCAGCCACTCTCCCCCTGCGACGGGGTCTGTCACTGTGGGGCTGGCTCTGCCCTCGTCCCAGCCAGCCGCCCTCCTTCGGCGACGGGACCTGTCGCACCAGGGCTGGATCTGCCCTCGTCCCAGCCAGCCACCCTCACTCAGCAATGGGGTCTGTCACGGTGGGGCTGTTGCTGCCCTCATCCCAGCCAGTCAGCCACCCTCCCTCAGTGACGGGGCCTGTCACTCTGGGGCTCACCTCAATGATCCGAGTGAACATTGGCAGAGCCAGGGATTTGTTATTGTCAGCAGCACGGAGCATTTCCAGCTCCCACAGGCTTCAGCTTTAGCTCTGGGGAATACTGTGACAAAGCTTGGCTGAGGGAGCTGGACCTGGGGCTCAGTAAAGCGACTCACAATATCTTAACTGGAAAATTAATTCTAAATGGCCTAGAGACAAGCAACGCCATCGGATGGAGAACTGGATACAAGGCTGTAAACAAGGGGCCTGGGTACACAGCAATACTGGCTCTGTGGGAGGTGTCAAGGGGTGCCCACAGGGATGGGGGCTAGAGCTGCTCTTATATAGCAGCCTCATTAATGGCATCATAGGTCATGTTTTCTAGACCTTTGGTCATTTTTGTTGATCTCCTTTGGACTTCTCCAATTTGTCACACTTTGGGAAAGAAGTGAGTGCCCAGAACGGACACAGTACTGCAGCTGAGGCCTCTCACCAGTGCTGAGTAGAGTGGAAGCAGACGGGGAGCTACACACAGAGTAAGGATAAAACAAAATATTGAACAGCTGTCTCCTTCCAGGAGCACAGCCCGCCCTGTGTCCTGCTTCCAGAAACACTCAGTCTGTGACCATGAAGGGGGAAAAAAATCGGTCTGTAATTTAAATACTGCGTCATGGCGCAGAAAGAAGGTTACGATGGTCATCTTTTTAATCTCATTTCCCAACATTTCAGGGCCTCACTTTGTAAGTTCACTGTTCTGCTAATATGCATTTTTATCTGGAATTAGAGATGCAGCCAGATTAATAGGCTTCACATTCCAGAGCAGGAGGTGGCGGGAGAGTCCCCTTGTTTACAGCTCTGGAAAGATCCTGTTTGGGAACTTGCATTCAGGTGTGAGCCTCTAATGCTGAGCAACTCCCTCGAGTCAAAAAGGGGTTTAAGAGCTCCTGTGGGCTCAGCCAGCCCTGACCCACTGCAACTGCAAGGCTTGTCAATGCTGGAGAAGGGCAGGTCCTCAGAAGGGGGATCTCAGCTCAAGCTGGGAGGCCTTCAGGAGCAAACAGCTAATTTGGAGCTCCCTGGCCCCAGGGACCAGGGGCTGCCTCCTGGGGAAGTGGCTTGAGAACACCAGCTAATTTGGAGCTCCCTGGCCCCAGGGACCAGGGGCTGCCTCCTGGGGAAGTGGCTTGAGAACACCAGCCAGCCAAGCTCTCTGAGGAAATGAAGGGACCTACTTTTCTTTATTTTTCTTTTTGGAACGCTGGACTCAGGCTATGTCTACGCTACCGCGTAAGTCGACCTACGCTATGCAGCTCCAGCTACATGAATAACGTAGCTGGAGTCGTCGTACCTTAGGTCGAGTTACTGCGGGGGGCGACAGGAGAGTCGTCTTACCTTACTCTTCTCATCGGGGGTAGAGTACAGGGGTTGACTGGAGAGCGATCT